CTACTAGGAAACACCAACCTGCAGATATACAAGGCCATTAAAAGCATATTGTTTTATATTAATCCAAGATATGGACACTTACTATCAAGACATGCAATTAAATGTTTCCCAAAATAAAATAAAGATTTATCTGATATCAGAAGATCTACCTCTTGACTGGGAAACACTGCCTTTCCGCAGTGCCTGCCCTTATGGGCTAGAGGGCAGGCCATGAACCATGAAGCACAAGCCCGACCTATCAGGTAGTAAGGGGTTGTGATCCCTCCAACAGCCTGCTCCTAAAATTCCCACCGCCTGTTGATTGTGATGGGGCATTGGACCTCCCTGAGAACAGTGCCAAACCAATCGAATCAAGGGCCACACAAAAATTCTTTTAGAAGACATCATTTAAACAAAGTATAAAATCTCTCCCTCTTTCCCAAGGATATAAATCCCAAATAATTGATACCTTCCAAGTACACAAAATATTTGGTTCAGTCTAGTTCCAAAGTTTCAGTGAAACAAAACCAACTTAAATAAAACCAACCAAAGGTAACTTATTAGAATATTAAAACCACCCATCTATAATTATTGGGCATAGGCTGGAGGGAAAATGTGCAGAACTCAGCAAATTCAAGAAGGCCTGATGCCAATCTGTGTGCCATCCTCCTCCTACTTCGAGTCTCCCCAGCCAGTATAGGTAAGAATTTATGTTGTACCATTGTGGGTCGCCAGATAGACTTTGGAATAAATGTCTGTTCTCATGTTTTAAGGTGCAAGCAGACAAAAAGTTGGGCTGTACACCTGTTTCTGCCTCTTATGAGTAGCCTACCCACAAGGTTACTTGTAATCTAGGTAACAAAGCACCCTCTGTGAGTTATTCCTCCACATGCTTCTTGTTAGAAATACAGTTATCTGCCTTGAGCTGGAATCAGTCATTATGTTTGGCCAGCAGTAGCTTATGTACTTCATCTGATATACAAGTATCAGCTGATTTTCATTATGTGATAGATGAGCAATTGTTAACTGATTAACTAGCTATATTTCCATTTTAATAAAGCAGGTAGGTTACACAAAATAATTAGATAAATGAGATATTAATATGTCTAAATAAAGGAACAAAAATTCCCATATCACAATTTTATACACACAACCCTCCTTTTGCTATTACCAGGGACAACAAAGCCAAACTGCTTTCAGAGAAGACAGTGGTCACACACTACCCAAACCTTTGCATATCCTACCTGTCTTTAAAGTTTTATGACCTGAAAGTTGCATCAATATAATTTTTTTTTTTTTAAATAAAAAAAAACAAAAAAACCTGGGCTGTGACAAGTCACCTCTTCAGTCCCTTACAACTGTGCATGCACTGGCAGTCTTTGGACATGAATGCTGTTTCTAATCTCCCATACCTGGAAAAAAAAATCCCATAACTATAAATTTAACCTACTGATACAATTCAAGTTCATAAGGATACAGTATTTTCTCAAGTTTTTGCTAGGCTTATCGCCAAAAGCACTCAAAGAGCATTACCACTGTTACCATAGCAATTGAATTCACAAGAGGCTGCCTCACCTCATCATCTCTCTCTACATGGGGCAACATTACCAATTAAGAGAATCAACACCTGCTTACAATTGTTTGGCAAGGGGAAAAAAAACAAGAAAAAAACCCAAGACACTCATAAATATTTAGCACATACCTTGACACAAGGTTTTAGTTCATAAATAAAGTTTTCAAGCCAGTTATTCTAGCTTTTACCTCCACTGTTTAACACAGATCAACATGTATTATTGTAACTAATATGCATTTTCCCTTAACAGATTATTGAAAGAAGCAGAAGAGTTACTATATTTATTTTAAATGTGTGTGCTATAATCTTGCTTTTTGGAACTGGCATGGAAGATGTCTACATAGGCTATGATCAAGAAATATGACAGCTTAAAAGTGCACATACATAAATCAATCTTCACAAAACTAAATAACTTATTTGTGAAACAAAGATTCTTCATAGCAGCATACTATTAGACAGGTTTCATTTTGTTCAAAGACAAAAACTAAAAGACAGTTTTAGGGAAAAATACTACTATTTACGATCCATAGCAAGAAGCTTCTCATCTATCAACATTTCTTTTTATTAGTTTCATCAGACACTTCCCCACCCCCCCTTAGATAACAATTCCTTGTTCAGACTGTATAATTCTCTTCCTCTCTTTCCCATAAACCAAGGGAAATCTGCCCTACAGAGAGAAAAAAAAAGTGCGCGTGATTACTAATGGAAACTGGAAAGGAATCCAAATGAAGGAAAGCCACACCCTAAAGCTGCACACAATTACACACTGCTTCCAAACTTGCTTTTTATATATCTTTGCTGCTTTTATATACATATATTATACTCATCATGCAGAAAATTATTTTCACTAGGTTTCCTTGAGAAGAAGATTAAGAAATGGATTTGGTAAAAAGGAGAACAAAAGTCACTAAATCCCATGAACTAAGAGAAAAATCTTAAGAGCAAGACATACTTTTCAAGGTAGACTGAATCCAAAAGAAGCTACCCAGACACTACCATGCAGCAAAACTAATTGTACATACACAAAGTGAAGGCTATTATTTTGTTAAACAAATTATACCATACTATCATTTTAGACAAATAAAAGGGTTTAAAATATTTCAGAGCCGGAATTTCTGTATGCTGATACCAATGCAAGGAATGTCCAACGGTTAAAAGAAAAACCACACCAGAAATTAAAGGTTTTTATGGAAAATATTTAGCATTCTGTATATCTAGCTGACACAATGGAATTTCAAAACACACACAGAAGAAATGAAGGAATTCAGTCTCTGAAGTATTAATCCCAGTTAGGTGAAACAGGCTTTTGCAGCAGTTATTCCTTTTCCTGGATTTACTTTAACAGGCAAGTGGCCTTCCCACTTTTGAGAAAAAGCTTCCTTACAACAGTATGCCTGGGTGAACATAACCAACGTCAGCCATTACTAACTGGTGAAGGAATGATCCTTCTCTCAAATTACCTACCCACCCCACAATTAACATGATCTCCTTGGTAACAGAGGGAACCTTTAAAAGCCCTCTGCCTGAAAGACCTTCATGCCATTTTATCCCACCTCCAAGTCTACCACTTCTGGACCAAACTTACACCACTTCAGCTTTTACAGACAGAATTCCAAGGTCCGTCTGTTCAAAGGCTTACAAAAACCTGATTCTGGGTGCAAATACGTGTGCCCTTTATTGCAGAGTTGACTGATTAACTCTGCAGTAAAGTGTCACAGCCAACATGTGCACCAGTAGATTAATTAACTGCACCACAGGTTAGCACTGTTGGGGACAGTACTATCTTACAGCAGAGTACTTGACTGCATTGAAACACACGTGTAGGACAGTGACCGGGTGGGGGCCAGACTCCTGGCTCCCACCTAGGCAGATGGCTCCGCAGGTTCTGCACCCTTGTGCCCCAGCTAGCCCCTCTGCAGCTTGACGCTGCCGCCTAGGGATGATCCTCCATACCCCCTGCCAACCTGGGCATACTCTGCCCCAGTTCAAGAGTGCTGCTGCCTGGGAGCACATGTAGATGCTGCACCTAGGATCAGTTCACTCCAGTTCAAAGTGCTCCAGAGTTTATTTTTTTGTCTCAGTTGCACATGTCGACGCACCCTCTGGCTACGCAGTTGGGTAAGCTGCAAGACTGCTGTTGCTCATGTGAACCAGTACCGTTTTCCTGTGCTTCTCTCTGATTATCTGGTGCATCCAGATTACCAAATATCCCTGAGCTTGAAGAGGTCCTCACCTATGATGGAGGCATCTAGGTGCTACTTCAGTACAAAATAACATCACTGCCTAGCCTATACCACTATTTCTTTCCTCCTGTTCAAAAATAGATGAACATAAGTTTATTGCTCTGAACAGAGACATACCAGTAGTCTGACCTGCTGCCAATAAATCAATATCCTAAACTCACATCTTTAAGAAGCAGTACAAGTTAATACTTCATACAAGCATAAGGTAAGCCTAGAACTATTAAACAAAGATATTGTTTTAAGCGAACATCCTGGTTAAGTAAACACAGTCAAAAAGCCCAACACTGAATCAATTCAGTCTGCACAGATTGAACCAATAAGCAAGTGAACAGACATTTGATTCTGGAAATGCAGCCACATGCATGCAGTGGCCCAGACCAGAAGCTGGGGGGCGCTTGAGCACCCCTTCTGTTCTGCTGGAGTAGACAGCTTGGGCCAAGGCTAGCCTGCCCACCATGCGGGGGGGAGTCTGCAGGGGCAGAGCAAAGTATCTTGAGATGCTGGGGGACTGCGAGTTAAAAACTTAAATCTGGAGATCTGGGACAGAAGTTCAATAAACTGATTTAACCTAAATCAGTTACGTCTGATACTACATCAATCCAAGTTTATTTTAAACTGGTTTCAGCCATTTTGAAAGCAGTTTATGTGCACTGAACTTCTGCTGTGGTACAGATTTGAACCAGTTTCCGAACCCATATACCAGTTCATGAGTAATTTTTGTCCCTACCCAAAGTGAAGGAATACAAAGACTCGGTATGAACCAGTTCTGTGAAACTGCATTTACAGCCTCCAAAAATGCCTAACTGCACTGCTTGCAAATAATAAAAGTTATCCCCAAATGCACTTTATAAGCATCTTTGTCTTGGGATCACAGCAGAAAGCCACACAGGAAGGGCACAGTAAAAATGACAAGGGAAGCTTGGTCAGCAATTCAGTTTTGTAAGGTGACGTATGTCAGAAAGAAGTATTAAAGAAGTCACACCTCAGCCAACAAAGATATGGAGCAAACACCCCTGCAGATGCATGCACACCTGCAAAAAATCCTTTTAACCCAGTCCCCTGAAATGAATAATCAAGATTGGCAAAATAACGCTTCAGCTGGCACCAACTGCACCTTCACTTGCAAAGTTTGTCAGAAAAGCTACTGGAGCAAAAACCTTCCAAGTGTAGGTAAGCTTGAGACAAGGAAAGAAATCTATCCTCACTTGATGAAGAGGGAAGACCGCTCCTCGGCTACAATGGAGAAACCAGGTTGACAGGCAAGACTTCCCTGATCTCTCATCTCACCAGTCTGAACCACTGAACTTGTAACAGTCTCTCTAGACCAGTGCTTCTCAAAGTGGTTGTCCACGGACCAGTGCCGGTCCACGAGCCACCGGTCGCCAGTCTGTGAGTTGCCAGGAAAGAAAGAAATATATTTTCAGAAGCATAACACTGATATGTCATAGCACCACAGTTCATACGTTCCAACACTCCAGGTGACGTCATGTCATGCAAGGTGAGGAAAGAGAAAGCAACAGCCGGTCGTGCATTTGTGTAGCGCTGTTACACGCAGTTGCTGGCACTGGCTGAACCAGGCACCGGTCCCTCGCCCACTGGAAAAAAAATTGCTGGTCCGCCACATCAGATAGTCTGAGAAGCACTGCTCTAGACAACAGGACCGTTATCTTAGTAAGTGTAAGAATCATTTTCATCCATAGCAATTTTAGTCTAATTTCCCACAGATATAAAGAAAGTTACTCCATGTTACCCATTTTTAATATAGGGGACCTTTAGTTCCAAGCATGCCTGGGGCCTATTTGAAAGGAGACAAGGCATGGGAAGAGCTGTTAGAAATGAAGTAAAGAGAGATCACAAAGAACGGATTTTAAAACTGCAAGTGTCTGCCATAAGGAAGAAAGAGGTGAACCTACAAGAGAAACATCATTTTCCACATTATTATGCAACCTTAAGTTGCCTGATGCATATTAGAACAAAACAATACTAGATATGTAACAGTTTAACAAAGAAAGCTATATAAAGAAAATTTAGAAACAAAATTTCAATTTCAGGCTATTTAAATTACACCATAGTATGGAGGCAATGTAAGTTTGGAGTTTGTGTAGCATCAGATCAACTGAATTGATGACTTTACGATTCTAGAAAGTTCAGAAAGGAAATTCCAACAGTAGCATTTTTTCTTCTGAAAACAAAAAACTTGCACTGAAATCAAAGGAGTGGAAGCTGACTGTTGTTGAACCAGGCAATCTGCAAATCATTCCAGCTGTGACAAAGCAAGCAATGACTTAATCATAACTCAGCAAACACCTACAGTCAAAATTTAACGTTTTCCTCCTAAGTACATAGTTTTCAAAAATAAACACGCGCCTAGCAAAACTGTTTGAATACTTGCATGCTTGTGTCAACCATTTTGAAATGTGGTGCATGTACATTTGAAGTTAACATCAGACTTCTTCTAGTTTTATAAAACACTGTTCTTTTCATGTCATGCACCCCCCCTTGAGCAAGGCAATGAACTAGCTTTACACAATAAGGTTATGTTGCTACTATAACCTTCATTGCAAGGCTTCATTTCCTTCCTTACATGATTGTCTCTAGTTCTGAGCACATCAAGTTTCTTCAGTTGTATTAATGTTAAACCAATTACATGGAAAGAGACAGGAGCAAATAAAGGCTAAATTCTTTCCCAATTTAAGAGAAAATGTTGCAGTTGATGCACTTCATTCAGGTAAGAATAAAAAAGTTACACATTACTTAGAGCAAGTTACACAGAGCATGATCTCACCAAAACCATGTTCTGCTGAAGAGTATAGCGCTTGGACTTCCACTGCTGGCAGGGGTGCTGTGAGCAACAGGTATAGTCCCCGTGAAGAGAAATATTCCCCTCTTGCCTTAAAGAAACCCTCTGTAAAAATTAACAAATTAGGCTCCCTACCACCAAAGGAAATGGCTTCCAGTTTTCACCGACTTCATCAACTGTAATTTAATTAAGCATGCTTCAAGATCACTATTCTATCTTAAAGAATTTGCTAATGCCACAATAGGGGGAACTCTTCTTTAAAGCGGCACCCACTGAGACACAGAAATGCAAGTTACAGAGGATCTTTAGATTCAGTCTCATATGGAGAGGTTTCAGCCCAGCAAGCTACAGCTGTTGCACTGTATGTCCTCTCTGCCCACAAAAAGCTACTGCTAGGATAGAGTGATCCTACCTAGAACCAAAATAACCCTGAAATACAAGGCTGTTAACCATTTTGAAGAGTCAAACTACTTCAAAGCCATGACTAAAACAGAATTCCACAAACTTATTCAGAGGGGTCTGGTGGAACAGACAACATAGCTCAATAACCAGGACCCTGCGGCCAGTATCCTTGCAAGTGTTTTGTAATCAGAAATGTTGCGCCTTGAAAAGATGGTGGTTCACAGTTTATGAGACGATGCAAGACTTCCTCCTTGGGATGTAAAGTCTGCAATGGAAGCATTCGTATATTTGCTGTTCTGAAATTTAAGGGTGCGTGTGACATGCAACCCAATTTTAAAAAACCTACTGAAGTAACAGCTCTAAAGCAGGATTCTGTACTAAACTCAGATCGAAAGACCCCAATTCTTAAGAAAACTAATTTCAAAGAAGGTTCTCTCCATTCAGGGACAATTAGTCTCCAAGATCCAGACTCTACTTTAGGGCCCATCTATTCTATCAATACAGTCCAGTTTTAGCACCTATTTCTCGTTCACTGAATGTTGGCTGGCTTCCATTTTAATCCTCTGGGTAAGAAAGGGGGCTGCTACAAAAGAGGAAAGAAGTGTCCCACCAGGGATCTCGAAGTTCCCAAAAGCTTCTCACTGAAGAAGGTAAAAGCCAATTAAATGGGGGACAAAGGGAATTGAATTGTAGGAGTCCATGGAGTTTCACTTCATATTCTGTAGAGCAAACAGGAATTTGGAAACTGCCTCCAGGGAGCTATCGTACAGCTTTTCTAAGATGCTGAGCTTTGTCACCCCACGGCAGACAAGATTGGCCTGTTCTAGCTATACAGAGAAAAGAAGGAAAAATCAGGGTAGTCAAGTGATCTCGGAAACACCTTGGTGCACTTGCAGATATTTCTCTTTCCAGCTTGATTCTCTCTGAAGAAGGAAGAAAGTTAGGGTAAGCTGCTGGAGAGTGGGGGGAGAGGACTAGGTTTCAGAGCACTGAAAAATTCACTGATTTTTTGCTCTTTTTGAAATGCTGCAGATTGGAGTAGCCCAGCCATCAAGGTGATATTTTCAGGAAAACTTTCCCCTTTTGAATGCTGAGAAGTTTGAGAGAGGAAATACACTTCAATCCCTCTTCCATAAGTTGAGCTGATTTTGTCATAATGAAAGCAAGGAAGTGGGTAGAGCCCACTGTGGGCAAAGCATTGTGCTTGCTTCCTCTCGCAGTTCCGCCTGTACGCTGCATTCTTGACCAGCAACATTCACATTTCTCCAGCAACGGGTCCCACTGAGCTGCGACTGACCATTGCATGCTATCAAAGTAAATCCTGGCCATTTTGTTTTTGCAAACATCCCTAAAAAAATTTAAACCAAGAGATATCTACACAGCATGCAACAATGCCACTTGATCTCTCAGCACTAAGGAGAGGACCTTTCATGTGATTATGTACAAGCTTCCCCAAGTAAACTGGGCTAATGGTGTTCAATGAATCATGAAAGAATGAGATCTTTCAATGAGGTTTAGCAGGTTAATGGTACATACACCATTTTGATAATGAACAGTAACCAACATTTAAACAATGCCAGTTTGACCACGATAAAAGTCATGCAAGTGATCACACTGATTGTTGTTTTCTTTGCTTTAAATATTTAAGCTGCCTTTTAGAATAAGTGGAGATAAGATAATCAGTTAGAGTACATAAGTCAAATACTATAACACTTCTGAAAGAGGGTCAAGCTGTAATTTTCTTAATATTGCATTAGGAGCAAGAAAAGTTCATGCCCTTCCTTACAGAAAATGTTACAGTATCTTATAGTTCTTAATTTTCTCAAACATAAGTAATTGTTCCCATTGAAGTATAATTAAATAGAAAAGAAGTCATTTTAACCCTAAAAAATATTGTCCAAAAATCTGTAAGGCAGAATCCATGCAAATGTTAAACAAGACTGTAAGGCAGACTGGCAAGAGCATGGATATTAAAGGCTCTAACTAATATGTTCCAATATTTGTATCCAACTTACCACAGTTTAATCATAAGCATTTAATCATAAATGTCTGGCTCGAGCCAAAGCTATTGTACCTTCTATGCCAAAGTACAATAGAATTATTAGCAGCCATATGCATGTATCAGCTGATTCATTCTTGAGCAAAGGTCAGATTTGTACCAGAAGTTTTCTGGATCCTCCCTCGCACAATTCAGCATAAAGAAAATTTGTTAAGATAAACTTGAGCATGCTTATTTTTGAGATACTGCACTTCAGTTACAACTTCCCTTATCTTCACTTTCATTGCAAATGTTACCTACATTTCAGTAGCAGAAAGGTGATGGCATTTTGATAAAACCAGTTACTAACCCCTTTTTCCTCATGTGATGATACCTGCAGTACTATCAACCCATTCTTCAGAACTAAACAGATTAGTGGTGAACAAAAGTACTGAAGCTACCAATTCCTGTAATATTTATAATTAATATTATGAGATCATAAAAGCTTTAGGAAGGCAAGGAGCAGTGCTAATATGCAAGGTCATGGGAAAGGAATATATATTAGAAGGACTATAGAAGAGAAGGAACAAAAGAAAAAATAAGCTATCAAATATTAAAAAGTGCTCCAGTTACAAAAACATAAAGATATGGCTTTCTGCCTCAAAATGCAAATAGTGATTTATCGGCATATGTAGCATATATTGGATGGGTGGAAGTATTGTTTATTGGGAATTGAACAAGAGAAAAGAAAATAGCCTGAACCACAAGGAAATGTTACTTTGAGCTTATTAATTCAGGTGCTTTGCTGATGGTCACCAACCAGCTAGGTAAACTTCTTCATCAAAACCAATTTGTTTCCAGGCAGCCTGGTCTTGCATTAAAAAGTCTCTGAATAGTATGATACTCTAAGCAAGTGTTTCATAACTTGGGGGGAAGGGGTTGGAAACGTTATGCAGAATTAATTAGAAACCAACAGATGCTGGATTTAAATAAAATGGAATTTGTCTCTTATTACAAAAGAAGTGATACCATAACAAACACATGCACAAGAAGATGGTGTTACATTTGGCTTTGCTTATGTCTTTTTTTTCTTTAAATTTCCCACCATTTCACTATTTGTGACAACTCTACTGCTAGTAAAGATAACGTAAAAGAACATGTGTACCTACACAGCTTCTAAATCTGCTCTG